AAGCCCCAGGTTCAAATCTCGCCTCTGCCATGAACTCAGTAGGCGAGCCATTCTTTCTCGGCCTCAGCGGCCTGCCTGCAACACAAGGATAACGATTCCTCGCAGGGCTCCAGTGAGGACTGCAACAAGAAACTACTGCCGCTACCTCCGCAAAATCATGCGGGCGCCTGGCACCATACAGACGTGCCAAACAAATGCCAACATGGGATTTCACTCCTTCCGTCAAATCATCTGCCATACTGGGGGTCAGTGTCGAATCAGAACAGGTGAGAAACCATACCCAATACACTCCAAGCACAGTCCCTGTATGCAGGTGAAGACAGAACTGCTTTTCTTGTGCAGTTTTGCTTTATAGATTTATTGGATGTTTACCTCATCCTTCCCTCCTAGGAACCATTTTGTCCTCACAACCATCCTGTAAGGTAGGCCAGGCTGACAAGATAGTGAGTGGCCCACGTGGCTTCAGTGGTGATTTGACCCCCCCAGGCCTAACGGTCTAACATACCGCACCCCTCACCTGCTTCCTCTGTGGCCCGCTACTGGCAGGCGTGTGCAGGCAGCCTTTCCAGAGGCCGGTGACCAAGGCACCTCTTGCTATTTGCTCCGGGGAGCAGAGGGAGGCCCACCCCGATCTTACCCGTTTCCTCATGGTGGGCTCCTGAGGCTTCTCGAATTTCCTTTTCCGCCGCAGGTGGACATCTTCAGACTTCCTCCTCAGCAAGGGGTCCAGGGGGGGCTTTTTGGGGTGTTCGTCTGACTTCTTCCGAGGGGGCTCCTCACATTCCACTTTGCGCTTGGTGGCGTCCGGGACGACCTCTTTGTTTTCCCGGTTGATCTTCTGCTCTTTCAGCAGCGAGCCGGGGAGGTTGGATGCGTATTTGAACCCTGGTCCGCGCTTTTGCTTGTACGCCAGAGAGAGACAAAGCGCACAGGCCAAACTTTATATCTTATGCTTTTGCAGAGTGACTTCTAGTGGCGACAGACATTCGACCCACCAACTCAAACCAGATCCATTACCCAGAGCTCATTCACACACTGTGTTTGGGCTGTGGGGAACCATTAACCTTGCAGTTTCTCGGTAGACCCCTGTTTAGTCAACTGCAGATTGGGAGGGGTGTGTGTGTGTGTCTTTCGTTATGCCCAGGAACTTCTTTCCTACCCCATCAACCCCTTTCTGGGTTAAGCAGCTTGAAAAAGAGTTCTACCGAATGAGCCCGTGGGCACCTTTGGAATTTTGAAGCGGCATGGTGGGGGCAGCCACAGCTCACCTTCAGTCACACACGGAAGATCCTTGTGTCGTGGTGGCAGCTGCCACCAAAGCAGCGTTTTTAAAAATCTGCACAGCTCATCAAACCTCCCATGGCCGCCCTGACCTGGATAGTCCAGGCAAGCCCACCCGCGCCAGATCTCGGCAGCTAAGCAAGATCGACTCTGGCAAGTACTTGAATGGGAGACCTCCTTGGAATACCGGGGCAGGCTTTATTCAGCCACCTCTCTGAAAATCCTCCAGGCCCCCAGTAGGGGTCAGTCACCAGAGGTCGCCATGACTTCCAAGTGCACACACACTCACACACATATGAAAACCATAAACATCCAATGGCCAATCAGAAGCCTTGCTGAGCAAAATAACGACCTTGCCCCACCCACTTTCTAAAAACACCTGGCAGGCCCAGAAAAGCTGTCAGTGGGCACCACGCTGGGGACCCCTGCACTACTCTGTACAGTTTTAATGGCTCTAATAGAGCTGCTATGCTACTGCGGTTCTTAGATACCCTTACAAGACTAGGGGTGTGCATTCTGCTCTATCCAAGCTAAAAGAAACAGCTGGAAAATACCTAATTGGTGTTTATTGTCTACTCTCTCAGCCAGATATAGAGGGGGGTATACTTTTGGCTACCAAGTGTAGCCAATCCTGGATAATCAACAACAAAAAAATTCGGGAAAATAGGATAGCTACAGTTAAACAGCATTTAAAGAGCACTCTCTTTAAACACTGTTGGTTCCTTTATAGCCTATGGGGACCATTATAGTCAATGATCTCCATAGGCTATAACGGGAAATCTATCAAGGGGTATCAGGGCGGGGGGGGGGGGGGGGGTCTGTTTTTTGAGGCAGAGGTACAAATTTTCAGCATAGCTTCTGGTGCCTGTACTCAAAAGACCCCTCAAGTTTCAAAAAGATTGGACCAGGAGGTCTAATTCTATGGGCCCCCAAAGAAGGTGCCCTCATCCTCCATTATTTCCAATGGAGGGGGAAAAAGCAAAAAAGCAGGGACTGATGTCAAACCAGAGAGTCTCTGCAGTAGAAACTGAAGCTGGGTTGGTTTTTTTTTTTTGCAGAACCAGTGCCACTGTGGTGATGCCAGCTCAACAAATCCAAGCAAAGTGGGTTTTTTTTGCAAGCCCAGCAGTCAGTGCATGTACAGAGTACCCAGCAGAATCAATGCCACTGTGGCAATGCCAGCTCGACAAATCCAAGCAAGAGGGATTCCAAACCCAGCATAGCCAGTATATGTACAGAGTGCTGAGCAGTACCACTGCAATGTAGTAGTGCCCAGCAAAACCCAGTGCCTTCCATTAAATGCTTTCCCCCCTGCATTGAAAACAATGGAGGATGGGTGCACCTTCTTTGAACACTCTGTACATGCACTGGTTCTGCTGGGCTTGGAACCCCCCCCCCATCAATTTCTATTGCAGAGACCCTCTGGTTTGACATCAATCCTTGTTTTTTGCTGTTTTTTTCCCCCACCATTGGAAACTGGAGGATGGGGGCACTTTCTTTGAGGACCCATAGAACTGGACCTCCTGGCCCAATCTTTTTGAAACTTGGGGGGTATTTTGAGGAGAGGCACCAGAAGCTACACTGAAATTTTGTTGCCTCCAAGTCAAAAAAACAGCCCCACCCAAACCCTGGATTCCCCATGGATTATAATAGTCCCACAGGGTATCATGGAGTTGAAAAAATTCAGGATTTCCGAAAAACTCAAACACCATATTGGTTTTGGAATTTGGGTTTTCCCGGGAGTCCCACATTTTTTTGGAGTCCGATATATCTGAATCCAAAAGATCCCAATTTTCTTTTTGTGCACACCCCTACACAGGACTGATGTACCCGTCTGCAATTCTTGTCTGCTCATGAAGTGGCCAGTTGGTGGTTCTGTTTACGTGACCCTGCAGCCGTAAAAAGCCACCAAGTTTCCTAAGTTATGAGCATCCCAAATTATACAGAGAAACAAAAAACGATGTGCTACTTTAAAAAAAAACAACACCTAAACTTTGCTCCCTCCCCCTTCTTCCACATATTCCAGTGAAACTCACTTTCCCCGTTTTCCCAGCATGGTTGCACTTGGGGCACTCCCAGCAGTTTGGCAGCTCATCGTTGACCACACCGTCCGACTCCCGCACCTGGTGGAGAAGGACACACATCAAGCTGAGGGCAGCTCACCACCGATAGGTATGGCTGTGTACAAGTAGCACTTTGAAAAACCAAGGACTTGTGGTAAGGAAAGCTGAAGCAAGCATGTTTGACACAACTGCGGACGTCACACAAGTTGCCCGGCTCTGCCTCCTTGTAGGCAGAAGCACTAACAGTGGAAGGTCTATTCTGACTCCACTCCGCTCATCAGGCTTCACTCGGTTTTCACCAAGCACTTTCAAGCTTCTGGCACACCCAGAAGGGCCAAAAGCTGAACTTCTAGAAAACGTGACATGGATTTTCAACTCAACACCAAATTCTGTGGGGGTTCTTGCTCTTGTATGGAACTGCCAGCCCTGTCGCCAGGCCAAGACGAAAGAGTCACCTATTCCTTCAACAAAGGGAAAAGGACATTTGTTCAGCATGCTTACAACAGCACTTGATAGGTCACAGGGCTAGAAGGGCTGAGCCAGGAGCTGCTGGTGAATCCGAGGAAGCCAACCAAGGAAAGGTGATAAACCCATGAGAAACGGAAGCCGTTTGTGCCCTCGGGGTGAAGCTTTGGGCATTAAGCACAGGAGAGCAATGCTAAGCAACTAGGCAAGTAGCCCCAGAATCCTGCTACAAAACTGACCCCGTGGGCTGCAGCCAGCAGTAAGTGATTCTTCATGATGGGACTGTCACTGCATGCCATTGCCAAAACCCAAGTGTCTGGCACTGCAGGCAGCGGGAAGGGCCCTCAGGAGTAGAAAGAGGAAGATGTCAAGGCTTGATCTCCTGCTCAAGTCAGGACAAGGGATGGGCATGAACCTAAATTCATCTTGAATTTGGCCTGGTACGTGGTTCACGAACTAAAGTTTGTGCCCATACCTATTCATGACACTCCACACCTGGTTTCCGGGAGGTTCGTGGTGGGAAGCGGGAGGGAGGGGAGCGGGAGGGATTGCTGAAATGGCTTGCATCTAACAGGCTGAAATAGATGCAAGCTATTTCAGCAGGGTCCCTCTTGCTCCCGCCCATCCCTTCCAAGTGTTCTCTTTTGAATGGGTTTTGCAAGATCTCTCCCACCTCCATTCTGCTGGCCTCGGGGAGCTGCCCCCAGCAGAAAGGAGGGGGAGATCCACGAACCCGAACCAGTTCGCAAACTGGGGGAGGTTTGTCCCAGTTCGTGGGACCTCACAAACCACAAACAGGTTCGAGCCTCAATTTTCCTGGTTCGTGCCCATCCCTAGTCAGGAGGACTCCCCAGATCCAGGTGAGCCAGTGTCGCCCCCTGGCCCTCCTGTCCAAGTTTTGTCCCGATTATCGACACACTTGTTGAAGCCATTAAGCAAGCCTGAATCCCCAGCTTTAAAAAAAAGGTAACTTTGTAGGCCCTTGCAGAGCCAGTGGAAGAAAACTCCCCAAGCCGTTTTCTGCCCCACAGTTTAGTGGGAAGCCAGCCTGTTCCCGCCCTTCATTATTCTAACCAGTGGTGGAAGCCACAGCCCTGTTTTACATGCTCGCTACAGTCTCTCCTCAGCTGGCTTTACTGTCACTTAAGAAAAAAACAAGTAAAAATCCAAGAAGAAAAGATGCGTACTCTGAGCCAAAGGAGACACAAAACATCAAAAGACAATGCAACAATTAATTCGCTTGATCTGCATCATCTGCAACAGATCTTAAGTGCTGGAATGAGGCACCCCGAAATGCCGCACCCCAAAAGCATCGACAGGCTCCAGGGCTCTCGCTTCTGCTACCAGTAGCTGGGGTCAGGGCAGGCAAGTACCTAGAGTGGGCTTAGCCATGAGGAACACAGAGGCAGCTGCCGCCACTGAATGGTACCCGGGGGGGCAGTCTGTTGTCTTTTACCATGAGGGCGGGCACCATCCGCAGCACTGAAATGCCACAGACTGAATGTACTGCCACACAGGCCTGCAACTTAACATCCGCAGGTCACAGACTCTACACTGCCGAGGCAACGGCTGCCAGAAAACCCACAGGATGCACTCCTGGTTGGATGTCAATTCTTTGGAAACTCCTCTAAGTCTCAGAAGGAAGCTAAGCGAGGGACCGTTTAAAGAATAACCAGACCGGAAGCAAGAAAGCCAGGGCGGGGCCTGCGTGGGTCTGGCGAGGAGTGTCCCATGAATCCCCCCCCCCCGATGGTGGCCTGACCAACCCCCCTCCTCTTCCACGGCGCCCGGCAGTCCTCACCTTAAGGCATCCGGGATGGATGATTTCGTTGCAGATGGAGCACTCCATCAGCATGAGGTTGAACTTGCCCTCCTCCTCTTCCACGGTATCTTCCTTCCCAGCTTCTCCGCACACCAGGCACACGGCAGTGTGGGGCAACACCGGCTGGATCGACACACAAGGGCCAGGGGCCAGGCGGCAAGAATGAGAAACCAGAGAACGGGGAGCAACAGGCTGCGACGCCCTCGTCTGGATCATGCGACTTTGGGTCAGATCTAGTCAGGCAGCGGTTAGGCTCCCATGCCCCCCTTTGGTGATCACTAAAACAGCAACAACAGTGCAGAAGCACCCCGGTCCAAATTTCACACGGTGGCCCCGTCATCGTTTCTGTCAGCAGCTCTCTGGGGTGCCAAGCAGGAAACGCTCCTTCCAAATACGTAACCAGATACGTAACCTGGTATCTTTGGCACCTGGTATTTGTGGCCACGGTGTGACACAGAGTGTTGGACTAGATGGGCCGTTGGGCCTGATCCAACATTGGCTTCTCTTGTGTTCTCATGAAAACCACCAGAAGAGCCCTGCTGGATCATACCAGTGAGGGTCCATCTAGTCCAGCATCCTGTTTCACAGAGTGGCCAACCGGTTCCTCTGGAGGGCCAGCAACGGGGAATACCCAAGACACTTTAACGGGAGACCACCATGTTTGAACCTTGAATCTCTTGCATGCCCAGCAGGGTCTCTCCCCACTGAGCCGCTGCCTGTCTCCGTCACGCTGCCCTAGACCCCTGGTTTGCCTCGCCTAGTATGGTCTGACCGGCAGCCACTCTCCAGGGTCTTCCGTCAGCACAGAAAGGCGAGCCTTGCGCTGGCACGGTCAGGCCAGGGCTTGAGTCGGGGGCTCTCTGCAGGCCAAGCCTCTGCTTCGCCTTCAACAATGTCATTCTTGCCAAAACCCGAAGCCGCAGACCACCTGTTTCCCCTGCTCCGCCCCAATAATACACACATCGGCAGCAAATCATCTAAAACATTTGATTTCAATCCTACTCCATACTGATGTTAGCATTTGGTTGAGATTGCTTAACGCGCAGGATCACGGCAGTCCCCACGACAACCCTGGTAAGGGAGGCGATATTTCCCCAAGGGCAGATGAAACAGAGCTGAATAGGCTTGAGGGCTGACGCGGGAGGTAGCTCAGCTTCATAAAGGCCCTTGGGTGAGAGGAACCCTGGGAGACATCTGTGCATCTTGGCTCCAGGGGGACCACGTCCAAGGGGGCGGGGGAGAGGGTCTATCATCTTCAGAGGGCCATTAAGGATTCCTCCCGGTCAGAGTCACCATCTAGGGGGTGGTGCCAGAGTAGTCTCCGCTGAAGACCTCCCTCCCTTTCTGCCATTATCTTTTGGCACCTCCGTCATCCTTCCCAGAGAGACCCGAGCACTCTGGATGTCAGCCTAATTAAGGGATCGCCCCACCCGTTAAGGAGAGACAAAAGCAACCAGAGGCAGCTGCAATCTGGTCGGGGTCTCAGCCTCGTGACCGTGATGAGCGGGGTGAAGAGAAGAGAGAGAAACAAAGGACCCCAGGAAGGAAGGAAGGAAGGGGCTGTCATTGGGAAAGCAATTAAGGGGTAGAGAGTATAAATCACTCCTTTTCGATTAGCCGATTCCAGAGCTTTAAAAAGGGCTGACTTTTACGGCAAAGCATCTGCTTTCAGAGGTTAATTCACATCAGTTAGAGCCTGCACAAGATAACTGAACATACAATGAAGTGCGCACCTAGGGAGACTAGAGTTTGAAAAGGCTTCTTCTGTCTTAAACAATTACCAGCACTTTTGTTTTCGAACATGACTGGCTACGCTTGGGTGCGAGCCGACAGCATATTTTCCCCTCGTGGAAGAATACCTCCCGGTTAACTTTGGCAACTGGTCTGCACCCCTGTGGACTAAGTGCTGAGCGGTCGGGTTAGAACGGATAAGAGAAAGTACTTCTTCACCCAAAGAGTGATTAACACTTGGAATTCACTGCCACAGGAAGTGGTGGCGGCTACAAGCATGGACGGCTTCAAGAGGGAATTAGATAAGCATACGGAGCAGAGGTCCATCAGTGGCTGTTAGCCACAAGGTATAGATAGGGACTCTGGGGCAAGTGATGCTCTGTCTTCTTGGTGCTGGGGGGG